GGGCTCAGGCAGTCCACTCACCTCGGCCTCCCAAAGTGCTGGGATTACAGGCTGAGCCACCGAACCCAGCTGAGGTCACATTATTAACCACACTCTGGCGACACCAAGTCCTTACCCCACGACCCACCAGCTGGCTGACCTTTCCCTGAGCCTCAGTTCTCTCCTCCGTAAAATGGGACTAATAATCACGCGTGCCTGGCTACACGAAGGGCTGCTGGGAAGCAGGTGGGAGGATATGTGTGAAGAGGAGTCTTTGTGTGTGTGCAGAGGCCTTTGACCAGAGCCTGGGAAGGACTTTTGGGGACTTCTGGGTCCCTCCTGCTCCCAGAGTCACGAGCAGAGAGAGATCCGGTGGGCACAGTGGCAGCAGGCTGCCCAGAATGCACCTGGCCAGGCTCTGGTCCAGGAAAAGGCAACCATTCAGGGCTGGCTTGGACACGAGCCGGGTGACGAGAGACAGGGAGCCCTGTGCTCTGGAGAGGAAGGAGGCTTCCGCGTGGCCCCAGCATGGGGCTGAGCCGCCAGCCGGGAGGGTAGGCCAGCTCACGGGGAGGGGGAGGCGCCCAAGAGGGAAGACTGAGCTAGTGTTTGAGGCCGAGGGGCTGAAAGGAGGCTGTGTGTGCCCATGCTGGCTGCCTGGCGGGCGGGATGTGAGTCATTGGTAGCCTGGGGGGAGGGTGCCGCCTGGGCCCAGCTGTCCGGGACGAGGGGCGCGATGCCCACTGCGCATCAATGTGTGTCAGTGTACGTTTGAACGTGTGTGCTGGGGGCGGGGCGGGGCCGTGCAGATCTGCCTGGGCCACCCAAGGCTCCCCAGGGTGGGCACGCCTGTCATCCTCTGCCCCATGGCTGTGGCACGACTACCCCTCCTCCCTGCCAGGGTCTCTTCCCGGTGACCAATGCTGGTCACTCATTCCCTCGTTTGATCAGCCAACAGGCGTCAGTGGCAGCTCTGCTGTGTGCTGCCGACCAGGAAAACAGAAAGCCTGTCCCTGCTCTCCGTGGTACCCGGTGTCATGGGCCGGATGGAGGAGGGACAGAGAGAGGAGGCTCCGACAGGGTGATGCCGGCCAAGGGAGGGAGCACCTACTCCTGGGGGGAGGGCTTTGAGATGGGTTTTGAAAGATGAGCAGGCCCTCGCTAGATTCAGAAGAGGACAGGGAAGCAGATTTGAGCAGAAGGAAGCCTAGGATCTTGGTGAGTGGAGAAGGCCAGCCAGGGTTGCAGGAGTAGGGGTTGGGGCGGCAGACGCTGGAGGTGTAAAGAACCTGTGGGCGTTGCCCAGAGGGTCCTGGAGATAGGGGTGGGCACAGACTTGAGAGTTTGGGGAAGACTCACAAGAGGCTGCTCAACAGGGCCCTGCCCAGTCCTGAGCCCAAGGGCCTGGCCAGGTGGGGTTTCACCCGTACCAGATAAGCTGGTTGGTAGAGGCCCCTCTCACCTGGGAAAGGCCACAGGCATTGTGTATGAATGTGTGGTGTGTGTGTGTGTGTGTGTATGAAGGTGTGTCTCTCTGTATGTGTCTAGATGGGTGTGTGTGTCTGTTTTTACTAGATATGCATGTATCCTGGGTGCATATCAGTGTGTATGTTGAGTGTTATGTGTGCATCTCTCTGTGCATACTACTATGTGAGTGTCTGTGTATCTGACCTCTGTGTGCAGGTGTTGCTGTGTCTTTCTGAATGCACGTGTCTGTGTGTGTGCCTGCCTCCGGGCCTATGTGTTTATATGTCTGGGTCTGGGTCACGTGTGTGCCTGTGTGGTTCTTCTGTGTGTAAGCCTGGATGTGAGTCTGTGTCTGTGAGAGAGAGTGTATGCGTCTGTGTGTGTGACCACCGACGCCCCAGCTGTTGGGGAGCGCCGATTCACTTCTTCCATTCCTTCGCTGCCCCTTCTGCTGGCTTCCGGTTCCTGGGCCTCTGAACACCCTTCCAGCTGCCCAACTCCACCCCCACTTGACTGGCTCCCACACCCACAAAGCCATGGGTGGCCTCGGCTGCCCCCAGACCAGCCAGAGGGCACCCGGGCACAGGAAAGGGGCCAGAGAGCTGCGCAGGCCCAGAGGGAGCTATGTGCCCCCTCCACCAGCCAGCCGGGGGGTCCCCACCACCCCAGCAAGAAGGGTTGCTCAGGAAAACTCGGGAGACATTTCCCACACTGCACTGTGCCTTTCTTCCTTCTGGGGCTCTCAGTTTTAGGGGTTTGTTTAGGGGAATGACATGAGAGTTGTAGGGGCTTGGCATGAGAAGAGGCCTGGCCTCTGTGGCTGCTGAGCAGAACCTCTGGAACCAGGTCTTCTTGATATTATCAGCTTCTTTCAAGGGATCTGCCCCTTCCAGGCTGTTCTCGCAGGGCTGCTCGTCTCAGGACCCCGCCCCAGCCACAGAAGGGGATTCATGGCCCAGGCCTGGCCAGGCACGGCACCCTGCTCCCTCAAGACATGATCACTGGCCCAGGTCTGGGGACATGTCTAAAGCCGGGCCAGTGAGTCCTTCCCTGGAATTTTATATATGAAGGCTGAGAGAGGGGAAAAAACCTGCTGTTTCCTCTGAGGTCCGCAAGATGAGGTGATGAATGCCCAAGGCCATCTGCAAGCCTTTCTCCATTCCTCATGGAAGCCTGTGGATTGCAGGAAGGAGACAAGGGTAGGGCAGATTGTCCAGGGGAGGGCAGTTATGGAGGGAGAGGGCTTTCCTGTTGTATGAGTTACAAATTCCTTTTGCTTGAGCGACTTTGAGTCGGGTTCCTGTCACTGGCAGCCAGAGGAACCCTGGATGGTCCCTGCCTTGAGTCACACACCTGAGTGTCCAGGGTGTGAGGCCCACTGTTGCATGGCCCTGCACACACCCTGACATCCCTCCCTAGCTTCCTCAGATCCTGTGCAGGGGCTATGACCACCGTCTTCCACTCTTCTCAAGCTCCTGAGTCCACTTCTCTTTCCTCAACTGCCACCTTCTTCAGTGGGAAAGTTGAACTTCCTCTCCTCTCCCCGGCCCCTCTATCCCCCACAGCCACTTCTCCATTCTGTCTTCTTCCTCCCCAGGGTCACAGGAAGAAATATCCCTCCTCTGGCCCTTGTTGAAGGCTGACCAAGAGAGCTGGAGTTGGAGGGTGCAAAGTCTGTCGTTCTCAAACCTGCCTGCACGTCAGAATTGCCTGGAAGCCCTAAGGAAATGCAGTCTCCCAGGTGCCACCAGCAGCTTTTCAAGCAGGCCCTGGAATCAGTATTTTAAACCAACTTCACTAATGGGGACAGTTGGCATCTTCTTGTTACCGGGCTTGGCTTTATCAGGCAGGACTGGGCCATAACAGGGCAACTTGGGGCTCCGCGAGGACGCTGTCCTGCTCGTTGCTTGCGGGGGGGACCCTGCAGGGAGCCTTTTTAAACTGATAAGAACAGATACTACACTTGATCTTAGCCAAAAAGGCTGAGAAGCGATTTTTTTTTTTTTTT